ACATATTAACGGCATTAGCACCTTTGAAGAACATATATTAATTCCATTAACGATTATTCTTGTGCAAAGGGGTGATGATACATGATATTGTGCCAACTTTTCTACACTATAGACTGCAGATAACATGGTAACCAGATCAAAATATTATGTAAGGCACTAAGACTGATTACAAATGGGCTCATCGTTCTGATTTGGGATAGGAAGGTGGCCTTTTTCCTGAAGGCTTTTGACTGTCTCATATAAACACTGCTTAACCGGCGTGAACTCCATGCCCAAGTCAACGAGCCTTTGGTTCGAAAATTTGTATGGTTTTTTTCTTGGGTTCTTCTCATCTGAGCACCTGCACATGCCAAACCAAATTTATCTTTACATCAGAAAAATTCTAAAGGTTTTGCTCACAATTTAGAAAGGTGGTTGGTGATGTAGGCCCATGTATGACAATGTCCATGGGGTAGGTAAGGACTTTAGAGGGTCCAATTTAGACTAGCAATTTGAAAATGAGTGCCAATAAAAACGAGTCAACAATTTTAAATCTGAAAACATATTCTTACCAAACACAGGATATAATCTTAGGTTTGTTTTGTTATGTTTTGGATTGACCAATATTCAGTTAGTTCACTTGTTATTATTCATTAGCCATTAAGTCCTTAGTCCTATGCAACAAACACATAGAGAATCTCTATACAACTATTTTGGTACTCGGAAATAATAATCTTTGACCGGCTATTTTGCAATTAAATCTATCGAAACAAAAAGGATTGGACTTACTTGGTGGGGATAGGATAGTCTGGGAATAAGTTGGCGAGAATCTCCACCACGTCACCACGGTGGAGCACACTCTCGGCACATAAGTACCTTCCGGAAGCCTCTGGTGTCTGGAACAAGAGTAGGTGGGCTAAGGCCACATCCTTGACGTGCACGTAGGCCTGGATGGAGTTAGCGTAGGTTTTTGCGGACCCTGTTAGGTACTTGAGTATGTGAAGGACACTGGCATTCACGGTCTGTTGAAGCATGGGACCAAGTGTGAGGACTGGGTTGATTACAACCAGGTCGACCCCAAGCTCCTTGGCAGTGTCCCATGCTGCTTGCTCTGCCACTGCTTTGCCATAGCAGTACCAATTCTGGGAAAACCATACAAAACATTTGCTTAATTGCAAAATCAGAAAACCAGAGCAGAGCATAGCTTTAAACAGATTTCTCTCTATGTTGAAGTTTTTTTTTCATAGCTTCTCAATGCCCTACGGGGGATTGAAAAAAGATGAATTAGTTGAACAGAAAGAACGACTTAGATCTACTTGAGAATGGGGATCTGCTGTAGTGGAAGAATGCCTTAGGCCAAGTACAACCAATGATTTCACACTCGTAACCATCGGAAAGGGAAGCTAATGAGCTTCAATTCCTTGATTTGTAATTATTGCCGGGGAAGAGTCAGAAGAGAGCAAGTCGGGAGGAAGCCCCAGAGGTTGGTAAAAAAATGTGGTGAATTGTTAATCTTTCTTTCATGGAGTTTTCCCTTATTCATATAGTTCCAAGCACAACAATCAAGCCAAGTGGTAAATTTACCCAGGGCTTCACTACTTCAGATCTTTTAACTGAAATACGCGAATTCCCATATTTTTAGTTGGATGGATGGCATGCTAGTAGCATTACAAGAACTGTCAGTGCAGACATTCTATCAATTATAACCAGTTAACCACAGAACAAAGAAGATGAGAAAGAAATGAAATTCCAAGCAAATACAAAACTAGAGTTCCATCTTCAACAAATTAACGAGAAAACAACTAATATATACTACCAAAATATAACAGAAGGTAATAACTGAAATCTAACAACATGATCGTAAATTTGCACATGCACGACAGCAAAAGTAATAGTTCCTTCTTATTAAATGGTAGGTACAAACAAACCTTGGTGTTTTTGCAAAATTCAAGGTCACTCCAACAAGTCTCGTCCACGACTTTCTCAGGGTCTCTGTTTGGATCCATATAAACCGCACCAATCGACGAGGTGAACACCACACGGCGGACTTTGGCTTCTGCAGCCGCACGGATC